GTCAAGGGGGGTGGCAAACGCAACGCTGCACGATGTTGTGAGATGGTGTGCGGTGGTGCGCGGTGCGTCGCGCTGTGTGTGTCGTGCTGGTAGGGCGGCCCTCTTACCTGGCGCCAACGGTGAGGTAGAAGGGCGAGAAGTTGGAGAGCGTGCGGTACATTTGACCGCCGGTCGAAGGGGGGCCGGAGTTGCCTGCTGCGTACACCACTGCCACGTTCGCCTGGAAGGACACAGACACGCGGAGGGAGAGGGGAGGGCAAGGGAAGGGAGAGGAGAAGAAGAGGGAGGAGGGAGGAAGCGGGTGAGACAAGGACGCGGGGATCAAGATTGCAAAAGTAGCATGAAAGACGGTTTCCCCCCCCCCACACGCACACGCGCACGCTCACGCACACGCACACGCACACGGACACGGACACGCCCACGCACACGCACACGCCCACGCCCACGCACACGCACACGGACACGCCCACGCACACGCCCACGCACACGCACACGCCCACGCCCACGCACACGCCCACGCACACGCAGGCGCAGACGAACAGACGCCCACAGCGCATCAGCGGTCGTACTCACAAGGTTTGCGTAGAGGTACGGCATGTCGTCGAAATAAGTCGCCTCGGGATCCAGGCCGCCCAGCGACAGGCTGAGCACATCCACGCCGTCCGCTACGGCGTAATTCACGGCGGCCTCGATGTCCGCCCACGCCGCGGTCATGCCGCCCGAGTTGGAGTTGGACCAGAACACCTTGTACGCCGCGACGCGCGCGCGCGGCGCCATGCCCGACGCCATGCCCACGAGCTGGCCGCGCGTCGTGAACACGTCCACGTCGCTGTTGCCCGCCGCTGCTCTGAGAGGAGGCGACGCGGAAAAACGCGGAGGGAACGAGGAGGAACGGGGAAACGGGAAGGGGATGGGGGTAGCGGCAAGGACAGACGAGAATGAGAAGAAATTAACCGTGTTATCCTCGTTGTCCTGTCCCCTTCCCGCCTCACGCCCAGCTCAACCCTCTCTCCGTCCCTCCCTCGATCCCTCCCTCCCTCCGTGCCCGTAACTTACGCCGCACACCACGTGCCGTGGCCGTCCGCGTCGCGCGCGGAGGCCCAGTCGTACGAGAGGTCCTCCACGTCGCCGGTCATCTCGCGGAAGCCGGCGCTGAAGTAGCGCGCACCGATGAGCTTGTTGTTGCACGCGGGGAAGTCGTCGCTCGTCTGGCACACGCCGCGCCACGACGTGGGGGGAGCTTCGTACGGGACGGTGGTCTGGAGAGAGGGAGGCGGAGAGGTGGGAGATACGCGGGTAAAGGGGCAAAGGGGGGAGAATAGAGGGGACGAGGGGAGGAGATTGGGAGGAGATGAGGTGAGCTGCACGCATATGAGCAGCTATTCGCGTGCGCCGTGCGCTCTCTCGCTCCTCGTTCTCGCTTCTCACATTACCCCACGGTTACCAAACAAGCTCTCGAAAATGCAACGAGCCCACTAAAAAACCTTCGATCTACCTTACGCCCTTCCCCTCCCTTCTCTCTCCTCCGTTCCATGCCTGCTCTCGGCATCTCAATGTCTCGACGTCTCATCTTCTCACGTCTCAACGCACGTTATCGGCGAACGAGGGGTGTTCGGGCCAGATGCCGGTGTCCACGATCCCCACCACCACGTTCTCTCCGGCGTTTGCCTGCCCGCCATTCACGGCCCAGAGGTTGTCCGGTAGCTGTAAGAAATCCGCCGAGTCTGTCGTCAGCTTGTGCATCGTGTACGACGGAAACACGTCAGCAACGTCAGGATGCCGCTTAAGTTGTTCCACTTTATCCGGGGAGAGTGTCGCCGCGAATCCGTTACTGACGAACTTGTAACTGTACAGGACGTTTTTCATGGGGAGATTAATATCCTTGGCGACCTTCTCCTGCATGCGCCCGAGCATTTTCGCGAACGCCTTCGCGGGCCCCTTACGGAGATTAATCCGCGGAAGCCGCTGGCGGAGGCGCTGCCCCGCCGCGGCCGCCCATTGCGCCGCGCGCGTGCGCGGAGCCGTGGCCTCGTACCCCGAGATTCCGCCAGTGTACCCCGCAAGAGGGGGTACTCCGCGCATGCGCACAATGTAGACCCTGTTCCCCGTGGGCGCCGCAACAGTGGCGGTCGAAGGTCCCGCTTCAGAGGTTATAGGCTGGCCGACGGCGGAAGAGGATGAAGATTGATCAGTCGGGGTCGAATCTTGGGAAGATCCAGCCGCGGGATCTGCGGCGGGATAAGCGGATAAGCGGATAGGGGAAACAGGCGCGGAGGAACGGGGATGCGTATGCACAGGAAAGCCGGACCGCGGGGAGTGAGGGAAGGGAGGGGGCGGGGGGGCGGGGGGGGGGGGGGGGGGGGGGGGGTTCGGACAGGGAAATCAGACGGCTGGGGGATGAAAGGGCGAGATGGGGAGCGGAGGAACGCTAGGTGCGACAAGACAGGGCGAGAAGAGGTGTCGCATGCGACGAACCACGATAATACGGAGGTAAGGGGCTAGCACAGGCGGCCTTTGATGTAGCGATAAGAGAAAAGTGTCTTTCTTAACTAGTTCTAGCGGAGTGACTTAAGCTGTCCAAATGGTTGTGCCAGCAAGATAGGCGTTCTGGCATTGCAGCGGCGGAAGCGCGGGAAGGAACGCGAGGTCAGAGAGGCAGTTGACGTAGTGGCGAAGCGCGCGGAGAAAGGGGGCGTAGCGAAACGAAGAAATAGCAGGGAACGAACCGCGCGAGAGGACTTCGTTTGGAAGAATAGGGCGGAAGAATGGCGACCGTAAAAAATGTTCTGAACGACCCTCTCTGTGCGTACCATTCTGTGCGACGGCGAGTGTTGCTGCTGAGACCAAGAGCGCAAGAAGCGCAAGCGCGAGCGGGCGCGTGGTAAAGATAGCCATGTCCGAGCCGCATGTACCAGGAGCCTAAGGTTTCTGACCAGAACTATATTCTCTAAGAGTTGAGGTTTTTTTCTGCAGTAACCATGCAATGGGAGTCGTTGTGTGTGATAATGTTGCAGTGTGAAGCGCTCCGTGGTGCGCTAAGGAATTCTCCGACTCTAATTTACGGATGTAGGAGTAGATGATGGTCAGGGGAGGTCGCCTCTGCAGCTAGGTGCAAGTGGGGGAGCAAAGGAAGCAGCCCAGGAGAAGCTGCGCTCCAGCAAAGGAAATGACCAGGCCGCGGATTGTGGGAAGGATTACACGCTGAGGTTGGGTTGGGAGGTTGTTGGCTGGCTAAGAGCCTGCCAGACAGAACACATCTCTGCTCGAGAAGGGGTGGAGGAGGTTGGCTGGGGGAATGTTTGGGCTCTTTGCGGAAGTGTGCACTGCATGATCAGGTCTGTCATGGCCAAAAGACCGATGGAACTCGTCGCAAAAGCTCCGTCCATCTTGTTCTGCCTGAATTGCTTGGATTGATGCAAGCCATTTGACGGGGTCAGGAAACCAGATACTAGTGTTGGTAATTTCCTTGAGATTGAGGGTATTCTGTAAATAGGTACTTGTGTAGTCGTGGTCCTCTCCGATGGAAGCTACTGTTTCTGAGACATGCTGGTATAAAACCTTTCGGTTCTTTGTAATGGGATTGTCCAAATACTACACTGTAATATCAACGCAAGTTTCAGAATCCTTGAAAGCTGGATGAATGAGGGGGTTGCGGTAAACAGTTCGAAGCCAAAGCAGGAAGCAATCCAGCTGTGCTCAATCGTGTGAACAAGTACAGTAGACAAGTAACTGAGGGAAATCCTCTAACATGTCGCGATCTAGCCGCCGACACAAGGTCGAAAGAGTTAGAGCACAAACAGGTTGTTGGCGGGTATTAACAGTAACGACTGTAGTTGACGAAAGACTGCCTGGGAACAGCAAAAACGGTGCAGAAATCTCGTGTGATTACAAAACGGAAAAGCTCTACGTACTGTCGCCGTCCTCACAAAAATCCAGAAATTCACACCTCACATGTGGCAGCGTTAACCCACGCAGCTAGCCTTTCGAAGTCTTTGCGGAGATCTTTCTCAGGAGTTTTAACAAATAGCCCAACTCTGATGGGCGTGTAACACGCGATTATTTTTCCACCCTGGTTTGGAGGACAACAAATGGAATGGGCTGTTCTGGTTGGAAAGGCGGAAAACAATACCCAACATTCTCGTTTCCTAATCTGCCCGTGGTTGTGGGATAGACGCATCCATATCAACACCTGCAAGACTGTTTCCCTAACCACCTGCCCCTACCTGCCTCGACAAGCCGCCTCTCCAATGCACAAATGAGCTCAGGAGAGAATGACAAAGTTCCGATACAGCACTGTTCCGTTAAACATAATATCCAAGGACACGTGGTTTCGACCAGCCTAACCATCAAAAGCTGAGAAATCAAGCACATTGCACGTTCTAGAATTAGGTAAGTGGCATGCCGCATCACATGCCCTCTGCTGTGCGTTCAGCATCCCGTTTTGATTTAAAATGCGCACTTGTGAAATCAGACTCATTGCACGTTCTAAGATATTATTACACTTTGAGCATGCCTTATGTTGTATGTTCAACCAAGTTTCATTTCAAAAGTCTACCGCTTCACCTGGATTTCTTGACGAAGGGAAATTTGAGGAATAAGATACATGTGATGATCAGATACCTGCCTCAGCAAGTGTAATAATACGCTGTTGTGATTGGGGGGGAATGGGGTGTGGGATGGGATGTCTTGATGGGGTGTCTTGACCGGGCGTTTTGATTGGGTATCTTGAGGGGGGGTTTTATGTGTGTTGCATTTGGGTTCTTCTTGGCAGTTTCACTTTCCTTCTCCCTTTTTCTTCATTTCCTTTCTCCTTTCATTTATGTCTTTCTTTCCCTATTTCCGTCAAGAAGGGATGGCTGTAACTTGTCTTGTTGCAATATTTACTGTGGGCCAATGTGCAATTATGCAAAGACTAACCGACTCTGCTGCTCTGACACAACGCGACTGCTGCTGGTTAGGAGGGACTCGCGATGCGATGGTCTTCAAATCACGCTGGTACAATGCATGCGAATTATACCACAAATAGAGCAAGTGGGGGTAAGAAGAGACAATACTAGTTTATGTAATTTATCATCACACTACACCTACGAATTACCAGCAGAAAAAAAAAGTGTAATGGTACGGTATCGTGCGAGCACCTCAACTCCAAGGTTGAGTATATGAGTGTGAGGGTGCGCTACAGAAACAAGACTCGACGTTGACGTCGGAAGGGTTACGTAGAGATGTATTCCGTGTGTAAGGAACATTATGAAAGAGTACAATATAATCATATTTTGCTTAAAGAAGCAATTAATTAAGTTGTTCATTTTAACTTAAAACAGGATACCGTATATGGTGCTTCGTTTTGCGCTGGCAAAAATTGTATCGTTTTGCGGAGGCAGAAATTGTCTTGTTCCGCGCAGGCCGAAATTCCCATTCTGCGCTGGCAGAAATTTTATTCTGGCTGGCATCCGTCCCTTTCACAGCTCTCAAGTCAATTTCTGCGCTCTTTTCTTGGTTCTTTTGTTCTGGTTCCTCTCGACTCGACAAGCACACCTGCTTGCTCTTAGTCCTCTTCCTTCCCCCCACCCCAATTTCTCGCCAGTTCCACCCAGCCGTCGTCTCGCCCATCCCGCCGTATCCTCTCCCTCACTACCCGCCTTCACCTCTCCTATTCACCTCACAGTCACTCAGTCCCACCCCGCGATCTCCTCTTCCTTACTTCCCCGTCGTCGCCTCTCCCTCCTCCCCGTCGTCGCCTCTCCCTCCTCCCCGTCGTCGCATCTCCCTCCTCCCCGCCGTCGCCTCTCCCTCCTCCCCGCCGTCGCCTCTCCCTCCTCCCCGCCGTCGCCTCTCCCTCCTCCCCGCCGTCGCCTCTCCCTCCTCCCCGCCGTCGCCTCTCCCTCCTCCCCGCCGTCACCTCTCCCTCCTCCCCGCCGTCGCCTCTCCCTCTTCCCCGCCGTCGCCTCTCCCTCCTCCCCGCCGTCGCCTCTCCCTCCTCCCCGCCGTCGCCTCTCCCTCCTCCCCGCCGTCGCCTCTCCCTCCTCCCCGTCGTCGCCTCTCCCTCCTCCCCGCCGTTGCCTCTCCCTCCTCCCCGCCGTCGCCGCTCCATCCTCCCCCCCGTCGCCGCTCCATCCTCCCCGCCGTCGCCGCTCCTTCCTCCCCGCCGTCGCCTCTCCCTCCTCCCCGCCGTCCCCTCTCCCTCCACGCGGTTGCCTCTCCCTCCTCCCCGCCGTCGCCGCTCCCTCCTCCCCGCCGTCGCCTCTCCCTCCTCCCCGCCGTCGCCTCTTCCTCCTCCCCGCCGTCGCCTCTGGCGACAGGTGCACGAGCGCCAGCGCGAGTTGGTGCGCGAGCGCGGATTGGTGCGCGAGCCCGGGCTGTTTTCTGAGTTACCGTGGTTATCTGGTGCGTTCCCGGTCCTTTCATCCTCCCTCCTCCCTCTGAAAAATATTTTTCTTCTTCTTCTTCTTTTGTTTGTTTGTTTGTTTTTTGCTCTCCTCGTGAGAGAGCGCGTGAGAGAGCGCGTGACAGTGCGTGTTAGCACCCGTGAGAGCGAGCGCGCCTGAGAGAGCGTGCGAGGGAGCGCGTGAGTGAGAGTGCGCGTGAGAGTGCGAATGAGAGATTGCGTGAGAGAGCGCGTGAGGGAGCACGTGAGAGAGCGCATGATGTCAAAAGATAAGTTTGTTATTATCTAGGCTATATTGGGGTTAGCCTTAGAGGGTACAAAAACAATCTCGGCACTCTAGTCTTGTACCCCAATCTTGACCTAATCAATCATTCCCTATGACTTAGTCTTAACATGGTAACTAGAGCAGGAGGTCTCTAGGACCTAAGAATCAGGCCCACCTAACTGTGTTACCCTACCTGCCTTGCCTACTGCCCACGCGCGCCTCGGCTGCAGCGCGCGTCATCTTTTTTTTTTTTTTTTTTTTTTTTTTTTTTTTTTTTTTTTCGCGCGCGCCTCGGCTGTTAGCGCGCGTGTCACTGTTTTCAGCGCGCGTGTCACTGTTTTTAGCGCGCGCCACTGCTGCAGCGCCACGCGCTGGCCCGCGTCGCCCGCGCAGCTCGCGTCGAGCCCACGCAGCTCACCGCCGCGCGCAGCCCGCCGTCGCGTGCAGCCCGTCGTCGCCCCGCGCGCCGCGTCAGCCGCCAGCGTGGCCCGCCGCTGCGCCGCGCGTCACGTCGGCCGCCTACGCGGCCCGCTACTGCTTAGCGTGCTGCTTTAGGAGCTCGCATGCGGCCGCTCCTGCCTGCTGCCTGCTGCCTGCTGCCTCCTGCCTGCTTGTGGCCTGGTGCCTGCTGCCTCTTGTCTGCTGCCTTCTGCCTCCTGCCTTTGCCTGGAGCCATTATGACGACGCCTAACGTTCTAGCGTTCGAGCCTGACGGTCGCCCCATAGAGTTCGCTGTGTGGTTAGACGATCTCCAGCTGTTCCTTCTGACCGATGCCAAAGAGGGCGTTTCCCTGTTCGATTACGTATCTGGCACTGCCGTTGCTCCTGCTGCCGATGCTCCTGCTCTCGAACGCTCACAGTGGCAGACTCGCGATGCTGCTGCACGCCTCGCTATTAGGAATCACCTGCCGATTACTGAGCGCGCGCATTTCCGCCAGCACAAAACTGCTAAGACACTGTACGACGCTGTAGTTGCGCGCTACTCCTCCCAGGCCACTGCAGCCATAGGTTGACTCATGCTACCTTACCTGTTCCCCGACCTTTCCTCGTTCACCACTGCTGAGGACCTCATTTCCCACCTGCGCGCCACTGACACTCGCTTTCGTGCCGCCCTTTCAGCCGAGTTCTGCGCCGCAAACCCCCCCCCCCCCCCCCCCCCCCCCCCGATGTAATTCACTCTCTATTTCCTCGTCACCCGCCTCCCTGACACTCTTAGCTCAGTCAGGGACCACTTCCTAGCGCTCGACCCCCCCACTATCACTGTCGACGACTTCGAGAAGCACCTCCTAGCAGCAGAGAAGAACATCCTCGCTGTAGGTGCTGCTCGTGGCACTCCGCGCTCTCCCCTCTTTGAGGGGTGCTCCCCCTCCCCTCTCACCCCCTCCTACGCCTCCGCAGCTGCTGCTCACGACTACCTTGGTGCTGAGGAGGTCGGGGCTGCTTCCGCTCCTAGTGGGAAGCGTCGCAGCGGCAGGGGCGGCAAGGGTGGCAGGGGAGGTGGGGGTGGCGGTGGAGGTGGCGGTGGTTCAGGCTGCGGGGGAGGTGGAGGTGGTGGGGGTGGTCATGGGGGTGGAGGTGGTGGAGGTGGTGGTGGGGGCGGCGGGGGTACTGGGAGCGGTGGAGGTGGCAGCGGCAGCAGTGGGGGAGGGGGGAGCGGTGGTGGCAGTGGTGGTCCGGGCCAGCAACTGTCGCAGCAGCAGCAGCATCAGCAGCAGCAGCAGCAGCAGCAGCGTCAGCGCCAGACCCCCACTTCCCAGCAGCTTCTTGACTGGTATGCCGGGCGTGGGGCTTCAGGGGGTCCTGGTCGCTGCCCCTATATCATTCGCACAGGTCCCCGCGCTGGTCGCCAGTGCACAGGGTTTCACTGAGCAGCGCTGCTTCGCTCGGCTTAGTGACGCCTGGCGCGCCAAGTTTCCTGATGCTACTGAGTTCCCCAACTGGGCAGACCTACTTAGGCGTGATGTACCTATCTTTGATCTTGACTCTGAGGCAATTCTTGCTGCTATGTATGCATTGACTGTTAGTGCTGAGGGTGACTGCTACTTGTGTGTGCCGCCGGATCCTGGTATAGCCCCTGGTATAGCCCCTGCAGCACTAGGTGCTTGTGAGTCTACTCCCCTTGGTACTGCGCCTGCACAGGCCTTGCACTCCTTTACACTTGACTCTGGTGCTTCCCGCTGCTTCTTTCGCGACAGTACCACAGTCACTCCCCTCCCTGCACCTGTTCCTGTCTCACTGGCTGACCCCTCTGGGGGGCCAGTGCTTGCACGGTCTTCCACTGTGCTTCCGTGTCCGGCGGTCCCGTCTGGTGAGCTGTCTTGTCTCCACCTCCCCTCGTTCTCTACGAACTTGGTGAGCAACGCTGTCTTCCAGGATGCGGGTGTTGACACCTTCAACCCTGGCCGGCAACGTGTGGCGATCTGCACGTGCTCTCAGACCGGCCGCCACCTGGCCACATTCACCCGTGCGCCAGGGTCCAGTCTGTACACCCTCACCACTGCGTCACGCTCCACCCATTTGTCTCCCCAGCTGCACGCGTCTGCTCAGGCAGCTACCCCGTGTGAGTGTCGCCGGCTGTCTCACGACACTCTCCTGTGGCACCACCGCCTGGGCCACCCCTCCCTGCCTCGCCTTCGTAGCATGCACTATCGCTTTCTGGTCTCTGGTCTTCCCAGGTCTCTGCCTGCCCTCCATCCCTCGCCTGCGCCCCCCTGCATTTCTTGCGTCGAGGGGCGGCAGCGCGCCGCTCCTCACTCCTCCTCGTTCCCTCCCACAGAGGCTCCACTGCAGACTCTCCACCTGGACGTGTGGGGCCCAGCCCGCGTCCGTGGACAGGGCCACGAGCGGTACTTCCTGCTGGTTGTCGACGTCTACACGCGCTACACCACGGTCTTCCCCTTGCAGCGCAAGGCGGATGTCCCTGATGTTTTGATCCCCTGGATTCGCGCTACTCGTCTCCAGCTCCGCGAGCGGTTCCAGTCGGACTTTCCTATCCTGCGTCTGCACTCTGACAGCGGTGGTGAGTTCTCCTCAGACCTCTTGGCAGCCTTCTGTGCAGAGCACGGCATCCGCCAGACTTTCACGCTTCCGGCCTCTCCGCAGCAGAATGGGGTTGCAGAGCGCCGCATTGGCTTGGTCATGGAGGTCGCTCGTACCTCCATGATCCATGCGGCTGCCCCCCATTTTCTGTGGCCGTTTGCGGTCCGGTACGCCGCGCATCAGCTCAACCTTTGGCCCCGTGTCTCCTTGCCGGAGACCTCGCCCACACTGCTGTGGATGGGGAAGGTTGGCGACGCGTCGCGTTTCCGGGTCTGGGGTGCTCGTGCCTTTGTTCGCGATACCACCGCGGACAAGCTCTCCTCTCGCGCCATTCCTTGCGTCTTCCTTGGCTTTGTCCCTGACGCGCCTGGCTGGCAGTTTTACGACCCCGCCTCGCGCCGTGTCTTTGCGTCCCAGGACGTCACCTTTGAAGTGTCAGTCCCCTTTTACCGCCTCATCCCCTACCGCACTGCTCCTCGCCCTCTCCCGCCACTCTTTCTTGCCCCAGGTCCTCCCCAGGTAGACCCCCTCCCCGCACCAGGTCCTGCTCCTTCAGGTGTTTCTCAGGTAGACCCTCCCGTCCCTGCGCCTGTTGAGGTCACTGGTGACTCCGGTCCTGCTGGCGGTGGTGCTGTCCCTGGGGGTGCGGAGCTTGGAGGTGCGCAGCGTGGGGGTGCTGAGTCTGGGGGCACTGGGCGTGAGGGGCCTGAGGGTACGGAGCCTGGAGGTGCTGCGCCTGTGCATGAGGAGCCCGGAGGTCCTGCATCTGGGGGTGCTGCGTCTGGGGGTGCTGCGTCTGGGAGTGCTGCGTCTGGGGGTGCTGAGTCTTGGGGTGCTGCGTCTTGGGGTGCTGCGTCTGGGGGTGCTGAGCCTGCGTGTGCGAAGCCTGGGGGTACTGAGTCAGGGGGTGAGTCGCCTGAGGGTTCTGAGACTGCTATTACGCGGTCTCCTTGGTGTAGCCGTCTTCGTCCGCGTGTGCCTCTCACCTCCCAGCAGCTGCACGACTGGTACGGTCGCCGTCAGCGTCGCGCTTCTGGACCTCAGGGCTCTACTGCTGGGGGTTCTTCTACTGGCGTCACTGGAGCTGGGAGTGGTGCTGGTCCTTTGCCTGCTAGAGGTGCTGGTGTTGCTGGTCCCGGAGGTGCTCGTACTAGAGGTACTGGAGCTGCTGGGGCTGACGGTGGTGTGTCTGAGGGTGCTACTGCTGGTGGCACTGCGGTTGGAGACCCTGGGACTGGAGGTGCCGGTTCTGGGGGTGCTGCACCAGGTGGGGCTGGTGCTCAGGGTGCTGGAGCTGCTGAGGGTACTGGAGCTGCTGGAGGTGCTGGAGCTGCTGAGGGTACTGGAGCTGCTGGAGGTGCTGGAGCTGCTGAGGGTGCTAGAGCTGCCGAGGGTGCTGGAGCTGCTGGAGGTGCTGGAGCTGCTAAGGGTGCTGGAGCTGCTGAGGGTGCTGGAGCTGCTGAGGGTGCTGGAGCTGCTGGAGGTGCTGGAGCTGCTGACGGTGCTGGAGCTGCTGAGGGTGCTGGAGCTGCTGGTGTTGGTGGCACTGCACAGCCGCGCCTGTTCTTTGCTCCGCCGTCTCCGTCGTCTCTGCCACCGCCTGACTCCGTGCTTCGCCAGGTTCTTAGCCTCCCGTCGTCTACTGGTCTTCCGTTATAGCCTGGCTCACCTCTGCCTGCTCCTTCTCCTTACACTGAGCAGACAAGGGGCCTTGCTGAGCATCGTGAGCCTGCGTCGCGTCCTGTCTCACCTGTCCGTTCTGGTCGTTCCAGTCGTCGTATTCCTCGTCAGCGTCAGCCGGCTGTCCCCGGCTGTTCCCTTGTCGTCCGTCGTCCTTCCTCTCCGCCGCCACGTGT